CTCATCTGTAAAATGGGGTAATGGAGTAGAACCTAACCCCGTGGGTAGGAGTGAGGATTACATGAGATGAGACACCTGGAGCATACAGCTGGCATGCAGCAAGTGCTCAATAGTTAATCGCTATTATTAGTATTAGTCTCCTTGCCCTGTCCTCCCAGGGAGAAAATAATTGTCCTCAACCTCAGCAGCAGGACCGTAAAGAAAGAAGAATGCAGCTACAAGATGTCAAGGACGAATTAAACTTTACAAAGGAAGGTGTTTCTCCTGAAGGATGTATGAAGACGCTTAGCGTTTTCACCAGTCAGGCTTTGATTGATTCATTAGTTCAACCGTTCACTCACTCACCCAGCCACTTTACTGAAGGTCTGCCATTTGCCAGGTCTTACACTCGGCTCTAGGGCAAAGTAGATACATAGCAACAGATATTCATTGTCAACACGTAATTACTGAGCACCCACTCGCTGGGCTTTGCTCTAGCTTCTTCAGATACATCCGTGAACAACACAAAGGTCCCTGAACTGGCAGAGCTCCTCTTATAGCAGGGGCAGCAGAATAAATAAGTTAAGGCCAGGTGTGGTGGCTCACACCTGTAACCCTAGCACTCTGCAAGGCCAAGGTGGGAGGATCTCTTGAGGTCAGGAGTCAGGAGACCAGCCTGAGCAAGAGCGATAGCCAATCTCTACAGAAAAAAATGGAAAAATTAGCTGGGCATGGTGGTGCACGCCTGTAGTCTCAGCTACTCGGGAGGCTGAAGTTTGAAGTTGCAGTGAGCTGTGATGATGCCACTGCACTCTAGCCTGGGTGACAGAGCGAGACCCTGTCTCAATAAATAAATAAATAAATAAGTTAAATGGTACATTAGAAAGCGATAAACATTGTGGAAAAACAAGTAGAGCCAGGTAAGAAGATTATGGTATTAAATAGGATTTTCAGGATGTGCCTCATGGGGGAAGAAACGTTTAGCAAATCCCCTAAAGAAAGTAAAGAAGTTAGCTGCCTGGACAACAGAGGAAGAGTGTTCACGGTAGAGGGAACAGCCACTGCACAGGCCTCAGTGGCACATTAAAGGAAAAGCAAGGAGACCATGGCTGGCACAGACCAGGCAAAGGGCAGAGTAGGAGGTGAGGTCAGGAAGTAAGGGGTCGGGGAGGTCACGAAGAACATTCTGGGACGGGCTCGATTCTCCCTCCGAGGGAGGTAGGAGCCTCCGCAGAGCTCGGAGCAGAGGAGTAGCACAATCTCACGTTAAAGGCGCACTCTGGCTTCAGTGTGAGAACCCACTAGAGGGTGGGGGGGGGGCAGGGAGGCCAGTTCAAAGACAGCAGCAGTGACTCAGGTGAGGGATGGCGGGGCTTGGACCAGCGGCGGAGGGGCAGTGGGAATGTGCCAGATTCTGGATATACAGTCTTCCCTCAGTCTCCGTGGGGAATTGGTTCCAGGATCCCCCACAGATGTTCAAGTCTCTGGTATAAAATTGCACAGCGTTTGCATATAACCAATGCGCATCCTCCTGTATACTTTAAATCCTACCTAGGTCACTTACGATACCTAATACAATGGAAATGCTATGAAAATAGCTATTACATTATATCGTTTAGGGAATAATGAGAAGAACTAAAGTCTGAACATATTCAGTACAGATACAATTTTTTTTAATATTTTTTATCTGAGGTTGTTTGAATTCACAGAGGCTGTCTGTACTTTGGAGGGTGTAGCTAATAGGATTTGCTGATGAACTGGAGCTGGGTATGAGAGGAAGAGAGGAGTTAGGAACAGCACCAAAGTTTTTGGCCTGAGCAACTGAAAGGAGAGAGGTGACTTTCATCGTGACATTAGGATGCCTGCACAGCGTGGAGGTGGCGGAGAGGGGTCAGGATCGGTGGTGCCCATTTTGACATGTCTGAGCGAAGGTGCAGAGGTAGGCAGTCGGACATCTGCATCTGGAGCTGAGAGGTCTGTATCAGAGACATAATTTGAAAAATCATCGGCATGTAACAGGAGATGGCATTTAAAGCCCCTCTCCAAGGTAGTGAGACAGAGAAAAGAAGGAATCTGAGGGCTGAGCTCCGAGGTCCAGGAGATGTGGGTTCTGGGTGAAGGCACATACCACGAAGTCTTGCACTGTAGACTCAAAAACAGCCTTCGCTGGGGAAACATTGAAGCAGAGTGCCAGAGCTGAATGAGACACAAGTTGTCCAACCTTCCATCATCGCCTGGTGAGAGGTACAGGGGACGGGGCAGAGCTGGAAACACCATGAGGTGTGCTCCAGAAGAGGGAGCCTGTCTTGCTACTGTACTTTTTTATAAGCAAGTGTGAGGTCAGTCTTGCAAGTAAAGAAAAACAGGCCCGAGCTCAGGCACCAGGGAAGTTGATCACAGTGCCGAGGGCACCCAGAGACCCTGCAGGATGCGGAGACCCGGCGGAGTCATTTCTGCTTTGGGGAGGAAGCCCCCTCTGGAGCCCACCTGCTGTCTCATTGGTAGGAACCTGCAGTGAGTCCCTGGGGGCTTCCAGTCCAAAGCGAGCTGATTTCCCAAGGTCCATGACCTAGGGGACCATCAAACATAATCCATCCAATAGGAGTGGACATCGGCTGGGCTTGTGACGAGATTTCCAGTGGTCGTTGGCACTGCTGGAGGAGACATTGTAGGAGGGAAGCCTAAGCCATCTGGCCATGGAGGCCACGCCAAGTCTGAAGAAAGGGGCCCAGGCCCAGATGGAGGAGCAGCCTGGGGTCACTGGGCTTGCTCCTGCGGTAGCCACACGGGCTCCTTGACTTGTCTGGAGGTGTTAGTCCAGAAGCAGCAGGGGGTACTGGCCAGTGTGGCTACTCTCCTGGGTGATCAACAAAGAGTGCAAAGCCACGTGGTTACCCAGCATCCCTGGCTAAGGGTCCGTGACAACCTCAGTAGTGAGAACCTGGCTGTCCCTGTGGCAATTTCCTTCAGGATAGCTGAGAGGTCGTGGGTGGTGGATTCTACCTATCTGGGAGCAAAATCTGCATAAAATGGTGAAGTCCACATACTAAACACCCAGGAATGTCTTGTCAAAAGCACCAGGGGAGCCGGGTGAGGTGGCTCACACCTGTGATCCTAGCACTCTGGGAGGCCAAGGTGGGAGGACTCTTGAGGCCAGGAGTTCAAGACCAGCTTGGGAAACATAGCAAGACCCCATCTCTATAACAAATTAAAAAAATTAGCCAGGCATGGTGGCACGTGCCTGTAGTCCCAAGATACTCAGGAGGCTGAGGCAAGAGGATCACCTGAGCCCAGGAATTCAAGGTTACAGTGAGCTGTGATCAGGCACCAAAGGGAATATTATGTCTACATGACCTCAATCAACACTCCAGCCTGGGCAACAGAACAAGACCCTGTCTCTAAAGAAAAAAGAGAGAAAGCAAGGAAGGACCTATATGCAGAGCAGGAGTCGAGTCCTGGGGACATAAGGGGCACTGTTCAATACTCTGCCATCGGCTTCAACAGTATCCGTGCGGGGGATGGGAGCATGGCTGTGCCGTATGTGGCTGTGGCCTGAATTATCCCAGCTGAATTCCCCCAAGGCACTGCAGGCTGTGACCGTGGCCAGCTAGGAGCAATGCCCTCGCCACAGTCAGAGAGTGAGACGCCTGTAAGTTCTCGCACAGCTGGGCACAGAGGGTGGTGGTGATATATTCAGGGCTATAGTCGGTCTGTGCCTGGCCTGGGCAGCTGCTGGGGCTGCTGGGCATTACCTGTCTAAATCTGGAAGAGAAGGTGCGAGGTTATTTACCCCTCCACCCTGATCTGTCTCCTGAAATTGCTTGCATATGTTCTTGTTGGTCAGCCTAGGTCTGCCATATCCTGGGATCGGCCAGAGGATCTGCACTTTTTCCAGAGCACTGACCCCCATGGGAACCCAGGAGTCACTATTCGGCCCTCAGAAGCAACTTCTGGAGACTGAAGAAGGTGGCTGCGGAGCAGAAGAGACCTGTTGCACAGGTATAGTGACTGCCGCAATGTTCCCCATTTGCAGAGGGCATGGATGTAGAAACACTGCACTCCTCAAAGTAAAGGCAGTGTCAGAGTTGCCTGCCCAGGTGGATGTCCATCAAGAGGGCTCCAAAAGAGGCAAAAAGAGACCCAAAGTCACATACACCCAGTCCTGGACTGGGGCCATGTAAACTTACCAGCCCCATGGTAAGTTGCTAATCTTACTTTTTAACACTTGCTAATCTCACTTTTTAACACAAAACTCACAGGCCCAGATCTCTCAGTCGGCAACCTAGCTCCAGTTGGAATTAAAAACGTGGTTTTGTTTTCCTAATCTTTATTTTTACCGTCGTGTTCTATTTAAACCAAGGATACTGCATTTTTTAATTTACAGAGAAATTGCTATTTATTTTCCTTTACAGATAAATTTATTTAAGAATAAAGAGTCAACTTAAAGGGATAATATTGAGTTAAACATCGAGGTGGTTCATGGTGATGGCAAAAATCACAAGGGTGACACACAAATGACTGATGTTTAGGATACTCTGGCATAGAGTTTAAGGTGTGTGAAGGGGAGTGATGGAGCGGGAAAGGGCTGGAAGGGAGTCAGGTCACAGAGGGCCTGAACACCACGGCAGGGAACGTGGGCTTTACTCGGTAGGCCATCGCGGCCAGACATTGGCTCAAGGACAGGCAACGAATGGAGTCAGAGCCAGGCTTGGCGGGGCTCACTCTGGCCTCCGGGCGCAGGGTAAGAGGGGACACCCAAGGGCTGGGGACCAGGGTAGAGGTGGCCCAACTAACAGAGGGCTCTAGAAAGGGGTGGGCTCTAGAGCCCTGTGAGGCTGTCACTGTGTGCTACCTGGCTGACCGGCCGTGTTTCTTCCCAGAGACATCCTTTCAGCCTCTGGTCCTCCTCCTAGAGCCTAGGCACCTCTCCAACATGAGTGATTTACGAAGAACATTCGAAAGCCTCTGACTGGGTTTTACTGAGTCAGGATGACAGCAGAGGCCAGCCCCCCTCTGCCTCATCATGGTGGGGAGTTGGAAGTACAATCGGAGAGGGTGGAGAAAGTCAGTTCTTGCCTCCTCATTCTGTGTCTCCTTGTGGGAAAATTCCGATGTCTGCTTGACCGCCGGTGGCGATTCATTTTACTCCATATGATGAACATCTGATTTTCTAAGACCTTCAACTTCATTTCGCTGAACAAAAGCCGTTCGAAGACTTTGTCCTGGAGGGCGAAGCAAGCGCACATTCTCTCCACTTCTTTCCTGCTCATGTCATTGGTGTTGGGGTTGCTTTCAGAAGCCTTTGGTGTCTCAGCCTCCTCCTAAGCTCCCCACCACCAGGAAAGGGGAAAAGTTGGTTAATAATGATAATCCCTTCCCTGTTTGAACACCTGCTCCATGCCAGGTGCTTTATAAATATTATCTTAATAGATAGTGCTTTGTCACATTCTATGGTTGAGACTTGGGGCCCAGGGAGGGAAGGTCACTTTCTCAGCATCATGCAGCCCCAAACTCCCAAGTCCTGCGGTCGCCTTTGGTTCATAGGAATAAATAAGATAGCCCAGTAATCTGCCAAAGAAGACGTAAAGCCCTTAACCCAAATATATCCATCTTCAGGGCCTTTGTTTCTCCAATGGGCCTCTCTGAGCATTTTGTCGGGCCCAGTAAAATCTCAAACTTCAAAGTCTAAGTGGTCCTATGACATACTATTGTATCTGTAATCCTCATGTGACCCCTCCCCTGGTTAATGATAACACTTTATTTTTTCGTGTTGGATTTAGCTACAAACGACTGGTCTTTAGAAACATTTAAAAAATAAATATTTCAGACATGCAAAAAAAGTAAATATTATAACAAATACTCATATTCCCACACCAGCTTAAGAAATAAAATATCATAAATATAATTGAAGACCCCTCCTATAGGATTCCCCTCCCTCCCTGAACATCTTCTCAACTATAATCTTGAAATTGGTATTTATTTTTTCCATGCATTTCTTTACACCAGTAGTTTTTGTTTTTTTTTTTTTTTGAGACAGAGTCTTGCTCTGCTGCCCTGGCTAGAGTGAGTGCCGTGGTGTCAGCCTAGCTCACAGCAACCTCAAACTCCTGGGCTCAAGCAATCCTTCTGCCTCAGCCTCCCAAGTAGCTGGGACTACAGGCATGCGCCACCATGCCCGGCTAATTTATATATATATATACATATATCTATAAATTTTTAGTTGTCCAGATCATTTTCTATTTTTTAGTAGAGACGGGGTCTCGCTCTTGCTCAGGCTGGTCTCAAACTCCTGACCTTGAGCGATCCACCCACCTCGGCCTCCCAGAGTGGTAGGATTACAGGCATGAGCCACCACGCCCGGCCTACACCGGTAGTTCTTAATGGGAGGTTATTTTGCCCTTCTCCAGGGACATCTGGCAATGTCTGGAGACATTTTTGGTTGTCACAAATAGGGTGAGGGGTGCTACCTGCATCTCATGCGTAGAGGCTAGGGACACCAGCTGCCAGGCTTCCAACAATGCACAGGACAGCCCCTCAAGACAAAGAATTATCTGGCCCAAAATGTCAGTAGTGCCAAGGTTGAGACATCCCGCTTTAAAGTACTTTCACTACACATACTCATCCATAGACTAAATAGGGTATTGTTTTGCATGGTGTTTTAACATTATATAAAAGAGGTCATAATCTATGCACATTTCTGCTGTTTTCATTATTATATCTTAGGTACCTATATTGATACATGTATCTCTGGTTCATCCATTTTAATTTTTTCCACATTAAAGTAGTTGTTTCTGTCGCCACAGCAAGTTGACATCAAACTGAACTAGAAGAGTCTGGGATGGTCCCTATTTTACAGCAGGGGCAACTGAGGCCTGTGGAGGGAAGTGATTTGTCCACCATCACCCAAGAGGAAGCTGCAGAGCAGGGACCAGAGTCTTAGATTCCTCAGTCTTGCCCCGTTATCCTGACACCTACCTTGTCCGCCACGCCCCAGTCTAGCTGTACAGATCCCATCTCCCTCAGCTGAAGCCAAGCCGCCTCTTGCTCACCTGCTGGGGCTCTGAGGGGGTGAGCTTGTGTTCATACTTGACCAGCCAGTTGCTAAGCAACAGCAGAAGGAGTAGGAACCCAAACAAGGCTGGTTTATAGTTTATCAGCCAAGCTGCCACTGCTCCTATGGTTCCTGAGGAAGCAAGTATCCCATGGAGACTCCTAAAAAGAAGTATTAGTTCCCCCAGCATTATGGCGTGGAGGCATACAGGCCCCAGGACCCTCTCTCAGTCCCCTCCATGACAAGAGTCGAGGCCACCCCCACTCCCTTGAGTCATAACCAGCTCCCTTCCCCCACCCAGCTGCCACATAACAATACTATTAACTCCTCCTAGGTCTTAAGCACCCACAATGTGAGTGCTTTGACAGGCAGTTTGTAAGCCTCACCTCATGGTGTCCTCACAACAGCCTGGTGATGTAGGCCTCCTCATTCATTCAGCAGTATTTCTGGGCCTAGCCACTGGGAATAAAATGGCCGACAATACAGAGTGCCTAGCCTCATCACGGGTGGACTGCAGAGAAAAACTATCCAAAACTAGAAATAAGGTAAAAGATTACTGTGTGTGCTTTCACAGTCATACTAGAATATTGTCTAATAGGCCCACCTGTTGGTCACCTGATGCTTTAGGAGAAGGTAACTTTGTTTGACTTAATATTTCATATTGATTATGGTCCAAACTCTGTAATGTTTGATGTTAACATTTTAAAAATGGAGAATTTGCTCTAACAATTCCACTTTCAGATATGCCCGAAAGAATTGAAAGGAGGTGTTGAAGAGATATCTGTACACCCACGTTCATAGCAGCATTATTCACAGCCAAATGTGGAAGCAACCCAAGTATCCATAAACAGATGAATGGATAAATAAAATGTTGTATTAATATATATATATATATATATATACATATAAACACAAGCCGGGCGTGGTGGCTTATGCCTGTAATCCTAGCACTCTGGGAGGCCGAGGCAGGAGGATCGCTCAAGGTCAGGAGTTCAAGACCAGCCTGAGCAAGAGCGAGACCCCCGTCTCTACTAAAAATAGAAAGAAATTAGCTGGACAACTAAAAA